GGCTAGTGCGGGGAGGCGTGAGCCCTGCCTCTGGGCATGCGCAGCCGCTGTTGTGCGTGCCCTTCGCGCCTCGCGTGGGCGCCATTTTCCCGCGCTCTGGTCGGCGCCGAAGGACTGAAGAGAGTAGAGGAAATGAAACCTGGGCTTTGCGTTCCGGCGACTTCCTTAGACGGGGGTTGGTGGAGGCTGGAGGGATCTAGGAGAGAACACCGTGGGTCCCAAGAACCGTAGTAGGGTAGAGCAACCAGAGGACCTAAGGAAGAAGCTGTTGAGACTTTTTTTTCTCACGTGAAGCAGAAGGCCCCGCGTGGGAGTGTTCTGTGCCTTTCTTCTGGTGACTGATGAAACTGTGCGCAATCTCTTTCATACTATTCATTCACAGTATGCTTCTGCGCACGAAATCAAGACTTTGAAGAATCCTAGTGCACCAGTCCAGACCTGACTGTGGAGAGGAATGTGGAACCTTCATTTCCAGGTTCAAATATGAAGCAATGTAGAGGCACCCCTTCCTCTAGCAAAAATTTATGTAGAAGTTTTAGCTTTAGAAAATGGGCCCAATTGAAAAGCAAGAGGCCAAGACCTGTTTTTCCTGTGGCAATGGGTGATAATGTCAGAGACCTCCAGAAGACACCATACCCATGAATGTCATGGGTCTTTCTTGGCTACTAGTCTGGTGGCTTGAAAGGCCCTACATATTGTCTATTTCTTAGCAACGGGACACCCCCTCAGTAGTGGTTTTGAGTAGGCTGGTTGGTAGAGAGCCCAAGGTTCAGACAAGGTGCAGAATGGTTATTTTGGGTGAGATCAACAGTTTTCAGTTTTATTTCCTTTGAGCCGAGTCAGTATTTGGACTATCTCAGATGGTCCAGGAGCAACCTTTGTCAGTAATTTCATTTTTAGTCACTGTTAATTTTATCTGTAAAGTATGAGCTATAAAATGTGATTCAATGAGTCAGATCTACCCATTGTCAGTTACCGTATTCATGGTTTAGTCTCAACTGTTCCTTTCTTAAGGCAAAGATAATGAAGACAAATTTAGGCGTGCTCTTCCCTAGAAGTTTGTCGTTCCAGCACTGGTCAAGGTGCTTTATAAATTTGGTATTTATTGACTTCCTAGTTATGAAGTAGTTGTTCCTTGTAAGAACTGTGTGATAAACTTTGACTCCTATGAAAAGAGCCCTTGCCAAACTTGCAGTAACTGTCTGTTGAAAGGGGCTATATATATCCATACTTTTTTAAGACTTTTGTTTTAGAAGATTTAGATATATAATGCAAAGATAGTACAGAATTCTCACATATCCCCACCTCCGGTTTTTCTATTATTGACATTTTACATTAGCATAGTATATTTGTCACAATTAATGAAGCAATAGTGATATATTACTATGAACTAAAGTCCATGCTTCATTCACATTTCCTTAGTTTTTATGCTCCAGGATCCCATCCAAGATACCATATTACACTTAGCTGTTATGTCCCATTAAATTCCTCTTGGCTGTGACAGTTTCTCAGACTTTTTTTTTTTTAAATTAGGACATGTTTGTAGTACATAATGAGTACATTTATCATGGGGAGTCGATACGTATACATAACACATCTTAATTCTTCCCCATCTCTGGGTTCTCAGACTCCTTTTTGTTTTCGTTTTTGATGATCTTGACGGTTAATGACAGTTTTGATGACCTTGCCCTGGCCTTAAGTGGTCAAGTAGTTTACAGAAGGCCTCTTGATTGGAATTTGGTTCATATTTTTCTCATTGCTAGACTAGGGTTATGGGTGTTTGAGAGGAGGACCACAAAAGTAAAGTAACATTCTCAAACATCACATCAAGTATACATAACTAGGAATATGCGTTATCCCCATTGATGTTTATCTTAATCACCAGGCTGAGGTAGCATTTGTCAGAACACTTAAAAAATGGGGATTTGTGCTCCACTCTTAAGGGTGGAGTAACTACATAAATTATTTTACTAATCTACTTTTTATCTATCCCTTTGGGTATCACTTTTTGGAGCCTGAAATACTCCATACTGAACCAAGTATAGAGAAGAACATTCCACTATTACCTACAGGCAACATTGTAATGAAAGGTAGTGAAGCTTCTTTGTAAGTTTAATAACCAAATATCCTCATACCATCCCTGTGAAAGTTTACAGTTCCTCTTCTGCTACTTTTGATGTGCTATTTTTGCTTTTAGAAACTAACAAACAACAAATTTCCCCTTTCAGTACTAAAATTAAACCTAGTGTTTAGAATATTTATTTGAAATTGATAGTATCCTCCAAAACAACAATTCACAGCTATAGCAATGCTACTGTGGTGCTGTGATTTTAAAGCCAGCGCATTAGTCACCCATTAAAGTATGTATGTGTGTATATACATACACGCACACACACACACACACACACACACACATATATATATCACCATATATATTATATATTATTTTAAAATAAACAATGTGTATATAATATATATTACATATATTGCTTATATGCCGATTCTATTTAAAAGAAATTCATAATATTATACTGTGCATGCTTTAACTCATAAATATGGATTTATTTTGATAGGGTCCACTATGCAAAAGCCCTTCACCTTAATAATTTTATAAGAGTGACTGTGGAATTATTCATATTTTGGCTGTTTAACACGTTGGGTGTCATTAGGACTCTCCTAAATAAAGCTCCTTAAGACTTCAATGTGGGCTGGGGATTTAGCTCAGCAGTTTGATGGCCTGCCTTGCAAGCACAAGGACCCAAGTTCAATCCCCGGTACCAAAAAAGACTTCAATGTGTTGAAAAATTTGTATTGTCGTCTTGCTGTCCTCACTGTGCACACGTGTGCTTTGCCTCTATGAGGCGGGGAGGATGCTGGGAAAAGATGCTGACTGGCATATGTCTGTGAACAATACCTTTTGGTGAATTTGGCTATTTTACTACCGTTCCTCCAAACCTATGTGCTTTCCTGATATGTATCGTTGTAGAAAATAGACACACAGAATTATATTTTTGCCAGCAGTGTCAAACCAACCAGCTCCCACAAGGAAAAACAAAAGCGAGACAGTTGCTCCCCAAAGTGAAAACGTCAAATGGATCAAAGTGCCAGTCTGCTTTTGAACTGTTGCTCTGAAAACCTGGACCAAGACCATTTAACGTATGAAGTGAAAAACTGAGGAAGGGGGAAACCCCACGAATTATGCATACTTCAAACGAAGGGCGCTCTCCTCCATGGTTTTCAGGGCCACCACTCTCCAGTCTTGACACAGAGCCCGGGTCGCCCCCCTAAAGCTCTTCGCTCTTGGGCTTGCCCAGAGAGCGGTGCGATGCTGGCTCGTCACGGTTCCCCTCCCCACAGGACGCCAGCCGGTGGCTGATCCGCCCTTTCCATGCTGTCGGTTCCTCGGGTTTGACTTTGACGTTCAGAGTGGGCTGCAGGTGCGGAACCCGGGCGCCGGTGAGCGCTATAAGCCGCCGCCAGCCAGCGCCGCTGTAACCCCGCGGTGGCACTGCAGTCGCCCGCGGTCCCTTCCTTCTGCGCCCAAAGCTGGAAAGTGCGGCAGGAGCACGTGGAGCCCGAGCTGCAGCCCGCGCCATGGAAGGTGAGCCCCCCTCGGCCCCGCGGGGTCCCGGGTCTTCGCGGAGCGCCTAGCGCCTCTGGAGCTCGGCTTTGCTTCTATGCATTTCTTTTGTCAAAGTGAATAGGATTTCAGAGGCAACGCGTGTGGGTTCGCGTACACCCGCCTCCCCCAACCCTGCAAAGTGGTAACTGCTCCCCAATTTTGTTTCTTATGGGGTGTCAGACACCAGAGGTCAACCCTAAGTTTGGAGAGTTGAGAGAGAGAGAGAGAGAGAGAGAGCGTGAGTTTCTGGGGTGCCCCTGGATGGGCTACAAAACGGCGGGGGGAATGAATGCTTGCGTTGCTTTTCTTTGGTCCATGGCCTCGGTGTCCATTGGAATTAGGCTACTCGAGTGACTTGTTTTACATGAAAAGTGACTGTTTTCCCTGGGGGTGAATGGTGCTTACTGGAAAGGGACATTTTGAAGTAACGGGCACTTGCAGTTCCCATGGAACTGATCTTCCTAGTGAGCCTCTATTTCACCTGAAGCAAAAACCAGGTTCGCATTGAGTTTATTTGAATTACTTTGGAAATTCATCAAACTATCCTTGCTTCGAAAAAATAACATCCATGTGTACTTCCTTGGGACACTTAAAGACATACTGCTTATTATAAACTCTTGAATAGTCTTTTCAACAAGTGTTTGTAAAATCTTGAAAATGGCAGATATGTTTCAACTTGGGAGGAGGTGGTACTTATAAAAGAATTTGAGAAGCATTCATTCTACTAAAAATAACACTTAACTAATCAAAGTGTTAATTTGATAACTATTATGGACAACATGGAAATTTTCTTCATAATACCGAAGAGTCTCTCATTGCCATGAATCTTAATCTTTGATAGCTTTGGTTCTAGAGTGTATGATGTTATGAAAATATGATGAAATACTGTGAGATGCAGATAAAAATGGTAAATCCTTTAACAATATAATTTAATGCATCAATGCAGTCCCTATATCCTCAGTTTGTACACAGGTACACATAGTTGTTATTACATATTAAAAACTTTTAAGTGGCCATTGTTGAATAATGCTTGACTTATTTTCTCCTGTGAAAAACTGTTTGTTTTTAAAAATTACCAGGGTTTTGAAAGTACCTTAAATTTGTACTTTGAACAGGAAGAAAGCTGGGTTGCTGTTAACTGTAGGAAAATATTTTTTAACAAAGTCCCATGCTTTATTACAAATAGTTTTTGTGAAGTTATAGATCACTATTCCAACACTACTTTTCCTAGTCTTACCTGTGTCACTTATCAAGAATCATATAACTCCATAGAAACTGGAGTGATTCTTTGTAAATGTCATTACCAAGTTCACTTATTAAATGTGAAATAAAAAATAAAATAAATGTTAAATAAAGAAACTAAACTGAATGATTTAGGATGTTAGTGACCTAATGGATTTTTACATAAGCCTGATAAAGTCTCTCTGAGGATGAAAGGGATGATAATTTGTGCATTGAATTCTGAACGGTCTATAGGAGGAAAGAGCTGGAATATCGAATATATACCTGGGAGTTTGAAAAAGTTGTGAGTTTAGATTGCTAAATTAAATTCATAGGTCCATAGAGATAGATAAGTGGCATTAGTGTGCTTAATGCAAAAACTTAATGATGCGAGTTTGGTATTTTCACATCAGAGCTTTAGGACAGAATATTTAATGTAGTAAAATATCTAGTTCATTATTGTTCACAATTGACTAATCTGGCCCATATTTTTGATATTTAAAATATTTTTATATTATCTTGATATCTTGATCGCAATGTAAGACAGTGATTTGATCTGTAATATATCCCTCCTTGGCAATGTAAGGAAATAGGAGACTTTATGGAATACCTTTACTTTCTGCCAAATTTGGGGGTTAAATTAATATACTAGTTTATTGTTTGTGAAATGCAATGCTGTACTGTCAGTAGTTCCTTCAGTATAGAAAGTCATTTTTCATTTGTCAGCATATATTTATCAAGACTTTTTCTGTGTTAAGATGTTGAGTGAAACAAGCTTTTGAAAATGAAATCTTGTCCTGTAAAAATGAAAAGAGTTAATGCATGTAGTAAATCATAAGCTACAGCTTTTTAATTTTCTCACAATCTGTAACCCTAGTTTTCATATATCATTATACATTATTATTTGCATTATAATAACATCTTATCGCTGATATTGTTGGAAAATTAAATGGTTCACAAATAATTTCACAGGTAACCACAGGTTTCTGATTTAATATAAAATATTTTTATGTTAACAATATTGGGTAGAGCCCTAAGTACATATATTACATAGCTTTCTGACTTAAAACAAGGTACTTAAGAAACAGCTTTTATCTCAGTGACTCTGGGTTACTATCCTGACAATCAGGTAATGTATTGTGCTATAGTTTGTTCTCACAGAGGCTTTTTAACTGTGTAGAATTGAATGTTCCTTTACTAATTAATCCTGGGTTATTTTGCAGTTTTTGTCTCTGTCTCCTTTTTTCCTCCCCTGGGCTAGGGATTGAACTCAGGGACGTCACACAAGCTAGGCAAGTCACTCCACCACCTAACTAAACCCCACAGCCCGGGTTTGTCTCCTTGTGGATGTCAGCGCCTGTTTCTCTGCACGTGGATTACATGGCAGCCACATTTCATTTTCAGGTCCCTTTCCCTGTGCTGGGTGGTTGATGTTCGCTTGATCTCTGTTATGAATGTGTGGAGATTTAAACGCAACATTTTAAGGAAAAAGAGCCACAGAAAGGCTAAGGGGGCCCTAGTAGGATAGTTTTTTGAAGTCTCTGTTTCCTGTAATCCACTATGTTAGTTCACACTTACACGTCTTTGCTAACAGCATTTCTACCCTTTCTCTACCTAGTTTCCCTTCTCATCTTCCAGCGTGTGAAGAGGGTTATGATAATGAAGCCTGCATGGATGACTGCTGTCCCTGACCTTCCCTAGGGCCTTCTGGGGATGAGCCCCGCCTGGCCCCTCACCTCCTCCACTTAGCTAGCACAGGGCCCGTCTTCGCAAATGCTCAGGCCAGGAGAGTGCCTGGTTTGCAGAAAGCTCTTAGGGTTTGCTGTGCTCAATTAGGAAAACAGTGATGAAAAGTAATTTCATTATGTTTGTTATGATGCATTGTATTTGAATAATTTTTGCTGATAGATTAGTGCTAGATTTTTTTTGCTAAAACTTGAATTTTTTTTTTTGGTACCAGGGATCAAACTCAGTCCCTTGCGCTTGCAAAGCAGGGAGCAGAACCACTGAGCCAAATCCCTGGCTCGCTAAAACTCTTAATTTTTAATAGTACTTAGGTGGTATTACTGAAAAAGAAGCTTAGAAAACAAAAATGTTCTTGAGATTTTTGTCAGGTTTTCACTTAAAACCAAACTTACCTATTAAATTTACCTAAGCAGATTTCAGTATTATATATTAGTCATTAATATATCAGTAAGATATAGATGGTGGCCTGAAATTAGCATCAAGTTTTCAAGTGATATTTTCTAAAATACAAATTATCTCTAATCCAAAAACCCCAAATCTGAAAACCCCAAATTCCAAAACCTTTTGGGTGCTGACAGGATGCCATAGATGGAAAATCCCTTGTCTGACCTCATGTGAGTGGTCAAAGTCAGCTCTTAAAATACTGTATAAAATTACCTCAGTCTGTGTCGCATGGATAAACAAATGAGCTTCATGTTTAGACTCAGGTCTGAGCCCCATGATACCTCATTGTGTGTGTGTGTGTGTGTGTGTGTGTGTGTGTAAACAGATATTCCAAACATTTTTTAAAAATCTGAAACACTTTAGGTTCCAAACATTTTGGAGCAGGGATACTTGACCTGCAGTGACATTGGAACTAGTTTATTTTACTGAATAATTTGTCAGAGGTAACATTAAAGGCTTACTAGTAGAAGAGGTTGGGGTGTTAGCGAAATCCAATGTGATAAATACTACCATTTTCTTCTGATGCAGATTTGGCTCTGCTCTGGAAGAACTCATACAGTGCATTCTAATTTTGGATTTGTATGAAATTTTTGGTACTTTTTAAATTTAAGCGATGCAGTGCAATTTCCAGTAGTAAGCTATTTTGGGGGATTTTAATTTTCTTGATTTTATTTGTGTTTTATGTTTATCAAACATGTTTGTAGTTCATACTGATTGCATTCATTATGGGGAGTTGGTGATGTGCACAACACGTACTGGCTCCCCGTTCCCTCCTCTCACTGCTCCCTCCATCCCTTGGTCCCCTTCTTATTTGCAGAAGTTCTATATCCTTGTTCCCTGTTATCTGTCTTGTGTTTTGCTCTTCACATTATTTTTTCTTCGGGTTTCTAATATAAGAGAAACTATCCAGTATTTAAGCTTGCGTGTCTGATTTATTTCACTTAACTTTACTGTCTTGGGGTTTATCCCATCATAAACTATTTCTTTGTTCTTTCTTTCTTTTTTATTTTTTTTTGAGACAGGGTCTCACTATGTAGTTGAGACTGACCTGGAACTCACTATGTAGCTCAGCCTGGTCTTGAACTCACAGCAATCCTCCTGCCTCAGCCTCCCAAGTGCTGGGATTATAGGCGTGCACCACCATGCCTGGCTTTCATCATAAGCTATTTCTAAAAAACAAATTTTTTGATTCTTAGGCTCTGTATCACAGGAATTTCAGTTTTTTGAAGAAATTATGTTGATTTGAGAGATTTTTAATTTACCAGAAGATTTGGCACATCAGAATAATTTTCCTGTCATGGTGGCTATACAGAATCGGTGGATGTGAATAGAGATCACTCTCATCAACTTACAAGTATTGTTTGCAGATATGGAGTTACTGGTGGACGTAGTTCCAAACTGAAAACTGGTAGTAACTAGATTTATATTAACAGCTAATCATTTTCAGTGCCATCTGCTTCTGTCTCTATAGATAAGGAACCACTTGACCCCAATTTCTAGCCCTCATTAATAGTAGGTTATGTGCATGCACACAGGGTAGACAGTTTCATAAAAGTGCTTCTGGCCCA